TGGCGTGTCTGTCATGTGAGTGACAGAGTCAAGTCTAGGGAGCAAACCATTAGAGGGGATTTGGAACAGCACTGTTTGCAAATATATATTTTCATCTCATGACATCAGAAAAAGCCACAAAAAAAAAACAACAAGCAGACAAACAAAAAACAAGAAAACAACCTCAAACTTTCAATAATAATAGTAGAACCAGTCCTGGTACCCTGCAGAAAGAAGGGCTCTATGTCTGTCATGAAATAGCTGTATGGAAAGCTAGAAAATTCTGTGTATTCTCTCTTCTTGTCATGATTTGTGTGTGCTGGTAAACAAGTCTCTTTAACGAGAAACAAAAGGAGATCAATCCAAGAGAAGGTTAAGAGGCAGCAGAGAGATCAAACTGTGAAGTTCAAAAGGTGAGAAGATGCAACTCTCTTAAAAGAGCGACTGGGGCTGATTCTTTGTTAACTGGAGCCTCCAAAAGTCTCTTTTGGAAATAGTTGACCTGGTCTGACAACAGCCTGTGGGGGTTGATGCGTGAAGACGATGATTTGTGTGAAATGATCTGCTCTCTCTTCAGGAATAAAGTCAGACTGGTTGACACTGAGATTTTATATGGGTTAAAAACCTCAGAAAATGCATCTCAAGTTGGTTGTCTAGAAATTGGGATTTCATCATCACTAGCAACTTTTGAAGCACTCCCCAAGGGCACTTTTCCATCAGCAAATGGTGGTAGAGCTGGGAACAACATACAGGAGTGGTATTTGTCTCACCACCTCTTGCATTAATTTCTGGCAGATATTTATTATCAAACGATGTGACTGTAGTATTTCAGTGTAGAGTAGTAAATAGAAACATGCTTCTTTGTGGCAACTCATAGAATCATAGGATTGCTCAGGTTGGAAAAGACCTTAAAGATCATCAAGTCCAACCGAAACCTGACCATATTGCCCTAATTCTAACAACCTCCTGTGCCATTCCCCAGGCAAGAGAAATCCTCAGAGGAAATCAGCATCAAAATGCAGGGTAAGGAATTCACCTGAATGCCTGGGCTTGGCTTCAGCTGATCCCTAGAGGTGTTCAAGGCCAGATTGGATGGGGCCCTGGGCAGCCTGGTCTAGTATTAAACATAGAGATTGGTGGCCCTGCTTGTGGCAGGGGGGTTGGAGATTCATGATCCTTGAGGTCCCATCCAACCCTGGCCATTCTGTGATTCTGGCTATTAAAAGGTTATGCTGAACCCACAGATGAATTTCCCATGCTCTTTTCTGAGGAACCTGGAGATCTTCCCTCTAATGGCAGTGGACCTGTCCTGAAAAGAGTACCTGTTCAGCCTGGGACAGAGGCAGAGGCAAGACTGTATGTTGTGTGTAGGACTGGAATTAGTATGTCCAAAACTCTGAGACCAGTTTTGTAACAGGTGACATTGTATCACTCCTTATTCCCAACCCATAGGCAGTCTCCACCTGCATTTTAGTGATGTGGACTGGTTAGATAGCAAGGAAGGTTTCCAATTTATGGATGTTGAATGCCAGAAGTAGTCCAGAGATGGTATGTAGTCTTTGTCCTCGGAGATAGATAAAACTTATCAGGCATGGTCTCAGAATCGTATAATCATTAAGGTTGGAAAAGACCTTTAAGATCAAGTCCAGCTGTCTACTGATCACCACCATGCCCATTAAGCCATGCCCTCCATGACACATGTCCACGTTTCTTGAACACATCCAGCTGAATCCACCATCTCCCTGGATGCCTGATCACTCTTTCAGAGAACAAGTTTTTCCTGATATCCAACTTGAACCTCTCCTGGCTCAGCTTTGAGACCATTCCCTCTTGTTCTGTCCTATTGGCTTGAGCAACCTGCTCTAGCTGACCCTACTTTGGGCAGGGTGGTTGGCTGGGATAGTCTCCAGAGTTCCCTTCCAACCACATGTACTGCTTGATGCTTCCAAAAAAGACTCCAAAGGATCTATCTACTTGGAGTCAGGCTGAGCACTGACAGCTTTATCTGTAAAGGATAAGGAAATGTTATTGCCTGAGGAGGAGGCATTTCAATGTGTGCAGTCAGAAGTAATAAAAATGACATTGAGCCTCTTGGGCTTTGAAGATCCAGATTTGACAAGTTCAGGATTTTCTTCGTAGCTATAGAGGTGATATCCTTTAAAGATGAGAGTCCTGCATACAGCATTTTTTAGTATTGGAAGCTTGTACAAAAGGTGAGGAAAAGAATCAAAACAGGTCTGTTATCTATATTAACATCATTTAGTGGGACTGGGTAAGAAATTAGGCATCTTCCTGCTTGGAGTTCCCCCAGCTGATAAGGCAAGGGCACATCTGTTCTTAGGAAGAAAGGACTCGTGAATACAACCCAAAAGGGTAAAATTGTGGTCCCCATTCAATAGTCTGATCTACTTGTCAAGTGTACACTGCCCATACTGGTGCCTTTCTTGTATTGTATTTCTCTATCTTCTGATATGCTTTGAGGACTCATCTGTATGATAATTCCTAATCAGAGTTTAGGACTGGTCATGAACATCCATAAGTAAGACATTCCCTGTGTTGCTTGTTCCTTCCTCACAGGCTTTCCCAATGCCACAGTTCATCTTTTATGTTTTGTGATTGAGAGTTATTCCTTGCTTTTGTCCAATACAAATGAAGAGAGTATTTTACTCCCCAGGTTTTAACCACAGCTTTGCAGCTTTGAAGGTTCCTGTTTTCCATCTGTCATCTATTCCATAGGCAAAGCAACTCCATTTACTTATTTTTTTCTGTGCAGGTCACGTTTTCTTGACCTGTTGTTATTCTCCAGTCTCACTCTGGACTCACTTCTGCCACTAGTAAATGTTTATTGTAGCTTTTTGCCTACAGCTGAGGGCTGTGCAGTATGGTGTTAAGTAAAAGGTTTACTTCACCTGTCTGGAAGATTGTAGAAGATTGTAGCTGACCTAAATTATGTAGTGTTTTATTTTGTTTTTTTAGGCATAATTTCTGGTTTATTAGGATTGTTCTGAGTGCTGAAGCTGTCTTCTATTCTGTCACGTCACATGTTTTTGTTCTTGCATTGCACTGTAGGTTATAGGATAAAGTTGTGATCAGATTTCTTACTGTGTCCTTTTTTCTGTATGTAATATGTTATACAATGCTTGTTCCAATTTATATGAACTGCCTTCACAGCAAGTCACTTGTCTGTCACAGCAAGTTGGACAAGCCTCCCTGAGGAGCAGCAGACAAAAGAATTGGGAGGTGACATGGGGATGGGAAGATAAATGCTTTTAATGCCTATCAAAGGAAAGGTATACAAATTTGCTCTCACATTTCCCTGTAACCACATTACTACATGGTAGGAGTGTTCCAGAGCTGTGTGAATAAGGGATATTTCAGGGGCTCAGTAGGTTGTGGTGGGAGGTGGTTGATTCTAAAACAAAACCAAAATATTTTACTTTTGATTCTTTTTTTTCTTTATCTCCTTGAATGGAGAAAAATACCTTCCTCATCTCCCCTTTCACACCACTCTGTTGGGGAAAAGAAATACATTCACTATTTGCCAGAGGAATGCTTGCCCAGTTGTAATCGAGTCATCTCAATGACATGATGTAGACTTTCACTCCACAATAGTGGCTTTTCAGAAGCCATTGCAGCATATGTCTCCAGTTGCCCATTTATAAAAAGGAGAAATGAATCACGATCAACCTATGTATAGAGGCAGTTTTCCAGATGTTGGATTGTTCAAATTCCCTGCTTACTGTGGTTTTAATCTGTAGCCACACTGGGATTTTAAGCTCCTTATCCCTGCCCAGAACTTTTTCTCTGTCTGTCTCCTATGCACCTTTATTTTCCAAGGTGGAAGATAAGGGTCTTGATAGTTCTTGAGTTCCATGAGACCTGGGAGAGACAGCATTTGTTTCCCAGTCCATCAGCCTCCCCGAGTGTATCTTCATCTATTTCATTTAGAGTTTATGAAGAACTTATATCAAGACGTGATAGATTATTCTTCTGCAAGATATATGGCTTTACATACTTGACACGATCCAACTGTTATATTCTCTAGTGTCTTGGAAACCCATGGGTTGCAGGTGGTTTCTCTTAACTTTTACTCTTCATTCCCTTATTTTCTGATCGAAGACTGTTTACCTAAAATGTAGCATTTATGTTGAAGAGGTATCTACTCTCAGATGCCAATTATATGTTAATCTCCATTAAGAGAATGGTGAATAGCTTACTGAAGAGCTACTCAATGAGCAGTGATGTCTTCTTCCTTTTTTAGTGAGTTAGTCCCTACTTTCTGCCGCATGATTTTCTGCTCGGGACATTTTAACCCAGTTTTGATGTAAAGAGGCAGCAGCTGGGTTTGGTTCTGTGTCATACCCCTTTTGATGTGACACATTTGTCTGTTTTCTTCCTTTGCTGTTGTCATTACTGTGGTTTAGGGCTGGACTACATTTAATGCCAAAGCCCTGGGGCCACTGATGAGCCATGGGGTACTTGAGGTGTGTAGTGGGACAGGGGGAGAAGTTTTTCTCTGTCAGTGCTGCAGTGATTTCATTCTGCTGCTTCTGCTACTTCAGAAGCTTATGGTATAGAAGGAAACGATTTCTTCAGAGCTCGTCAAGACTCTGATGTGATGGATAGACTCCTCGCCAGCTCTGTAGCTGTAGTATTCCAGAAGACAGCATTATCATTTTTGATCAAGTCCCTATTTCTTGCCTACCACCTTAACATCACAAGACATGTCATAAACATCAAGGAAATAAAGTCTTGCCGTGGCTCAAACAGAGGAATGGTTGCCACTTTCACAGGAGGAAGTAAGGTGCAGAGAGGTCAGATGACTTGCTTGCCCCGAGGATCATCTGTAGTCCAGGAGATCTGGATTTTAGTGTTTTTGTTCTGTGGGTGACCCATACTGAAATTTGTACTTAGGACTTTTTTTTTCACTTATTTTTCCATTTGCCTTCCCTCCTACCCCTGAAGTTCTGGGATTTAACTGACATTTAACAGTGTATCTGTCTTTTTCTCTATTTTCTTAGGTTTAAAATACAATCCCGCATCCACTGCTGTCTAAAAAATGTCTTATGGATCCATTGATGGGAGTGGATTTGGGAGGAACCCATTTGGAGGCCCTTCGAGACAAGGCTATCAACCTCTCGGTAAAGTATTTATGTCTTGTAGTAATTTATTCCTCCTGATATTCTGGGGAATGAGGTTTTTACTGAATGAGGTTCAGTGTGGCTTTTGTATAAATATCAAGCTACCTTCAGAAGTGGTTTTGGTAGAGATTTTCAAAGGTGGAACCCAAACATTTATTGGGTTCAATTTGTATGATGAGGATTTTGGAGTTATGTTGGCGGGTTTGGAGAAGAAGTTTGGTTCAGTTTCTAGACCTGATTGCAACTCTTTTATCTCCCCAACAAGAAGTTGGTCTTAATTGTTACTCCCTGGATAGTCACAAGTGTTCTCATGATGGGATTAAATGGGAAGAGGTGCAAAGTGAAGAGAGTTGTGATTCTACAGGGCACTACCTAACTGCTGGGGTGGCTGCTGTAGTCTGCAAAATGTGCTTTAACATGGCACGGGGGGATAAAAACTTGCTCAGGGAGTGTTGAAACCATAAACAATGGAATGGCTTGCAAATGACTGCGTATTCTGGTTTTGTGGGCTGTTTTAAGTGAACACCAGATGGGCTTCCCTAAGCTGCTCTCTTCTTCCCCCAGAGGACTCTAGAAACACTAAAGCAGAAAGAGAAAATCATCTAGATGTCAACCTCTATATATGAAATGTTGATGCTGGGCTGGCTCATGCGTGGTGATGGAAGATATTTCTCATTCTTCCCAGCTCTGAGGTACTGTTTGAGAGGGCTGGTGCTAGCCCATGTAGGCACGGTAAAGCTTTGTCTCCAGCTGCCCAGATGTGCACCAGGTCTGGTACACATGGGGAGCTGCTGTAGGACCATATGTGGTTTAATATAGCCTGACTTTGAGCAAGCCTTGTGCACTGGAACATATTTTTGCATTTAGTTTTGAGTCTGGAGCTGGCTTGTACCATACTGTGAGGCTGCAGTAGCTCTGGTGAAGGCACTTCTGAGGGTTCAGACCTTCACAGAATCATCAAGAAAGGGGGCACTGTAGCATGGGAAACGTCTGATTTATTGCTTTGCATCTGGAAGAAATGTCACAATTCTCTTGCATTGCCTTTGGATTCAACTGGGCTGTTCATTAAGGCAGCCTGACTTTGTTTCCAAGTTGTCAAGGATCCAAATATTCTTTGGGAAATGTTTTGTTGTTTTGCAAATAGCTGTTCCCCCTGGATGAAACTATAAAAGAAGTGTTAAGGTTTCTCATGGTTTTCTGTTTTCTTGTGAGTTTGGGTACAATTACCTTTTTTTTTTTTTCTTTTTTTTCTTTCTTTCTTGGAACAGGGAGAATGCATTGAATTAAGTTTAAATTTTTGAACTGACTGTTTGGTTTTAAATAGTAGTTTTTAGGCTATTCCATAAGGCAAAATTAAAGGCATAAAAGCAAGGAAGAATGAGTTACTTGAGCACACTGATAGAGCCATAGGAAAAAAAAAAACAAAATGAGGAACAGATAGATGAGGGATGCCATTGCATAGTGGTTTGTTTTTTTTAAAATGGAAAGTATGAATATTTACAATGATGTACAAAATACTATTTTTAATGCAAATGCAGAGAATAATTCAAGATGCTCATGGTTTCTAAATATTTGAAGAGGGACCACGCCATGCCCAGCTTGCCTGTCATTTGGTAGTTACTACATAAAGTTGAACCTACCTTCAGTGGATTGCAAAAAGCAGCTGATGTAGGAACATCAGATTTCTCAAGATGACTATGGTCTTGAGACCATTTCAGCTGCCATTTCTTCTGCATATCAGAGGTGAGAAACTGAGAAACTCCCCCTGCATTCATACATGATTTTGGGTAGGTCTGCACTGGGCAAGTCTTCCAGATATTCCTGGGTAAATTTTCCTAGCTAGCAAAAGTCAGGTCTCTTGGCCCAAACTTGGACCCTTTGATTAGTTTCAGTATTAAAAGGATAGCAAGGCTCAAACGTGTGCTTTATCATTTTGCCATATACTATCTCAGAAAGGCATTAATGAAAGTGAGGGGAGCCTGTTTGCCTTGGCCAAGAGCAAGTTGGAGAAGATTTTCTCCTTTCTGTGTATTGAAGTCAAAGATGATCCATCTGAACCTGCATATAACTAACTCACCATGCCCTTTCACCATGGCAGATTGCGTAACACGTGCCAAGTGTCTGATGGTGCAGTTTCCTCAATTATTGCCATTAATTGTCAGGAGAGGGTCAATGTAGAACTCATCTTCTGCCTCCTGCTTCCAAAATGATTGCCTTGCTAAGAAAAACGGCTCTCTATATTACCTCATGGTATGGCTGGAACAAAAGAGCATGACCTTCTGCTGCTGTATGTATGTCTGCTCAGAGGGGCAGACCTTGATGGACATGTCTTCCTGTGCTCTGAAACCTTCTTTTTACTGTATCTCATAAACAGATCAATAAAACATACTGGCATCCTTGCATATGGATACTCATAGCATGTGGTCCAGTACACATAAGTAAGTAAGTAATAATAAGTCCAGTAATGTTCAGGTATCCGACAGAAAACCCTGGCATCTTCCAACAATAGAAGAGATGAGGATGCTGCTGCTTAATAGCATTTAATGCAGTCATATCAAAGAATTATAGAATGGCTGAGGTTGGAAGGGACCTTAAAGCCCATCTAATTCTAATGCCTCTGACCTGGGCTGGTTACCACCCAATAGATCAGGCTGCACAGAGCCTCGTCCAACCTGGCCTTGAACACCCTCAGGCATGGGGCATCCACAGCTTCTCTGGGCAGCCTCTACCAGTGCCTTACCACCCTCTGTGTAAAACATGTGTTCCTGACATCTAACCTAAAATCTACCTCTTTTAGTTTAATGCTGTTCCCCCTTGTCCTGTCACAATCAGACCACGTAAAAAGTCAGTTCTTCTCCGTGTTAGAAGTTCCCTTCAAGTACTGGGAGGAGGCAGTGATATCTCTTTGGAGTCTCCTCTCTGTCAGGCTGAACAAGCCCAATTCCCTCAGCCTTTCTTCGTAGGAGAGGTAGTTCAGTCCTCTGAACATCCTCATGGCCACTTCAAGAGCTTTTGATTATGAACTAGCAGGGAAGTTACGAGTGGGAGCCCCAGCTAGAATCTCAGGGGCTAGAGAATCTCAAAGGTTTCTGAAGGAGACTGCTAAGGTTACTTGGAGCATAGCAGGTTTGTATGTTCACAGCAGGGGAACATGTAATCCATGCCCTGCTCTGCAGTTGTAAGTTAGATGTTGATGGAGAAGCAGTGTCTGCATCTCCTTCTTGTTCTGTTCCCAAAAATCTATGGAAAAGCAAACATTCCCCTGTTTCCCTTTGTGCTTTTCTCTGGCTTTTAGCTGTGTAATGGCGTTACATGGTGAAGTTGGAAAATAGAAGGAAGTTAGCAAAAAATTGCTTTTTTTAAAGAAAAACCCGGCAATGGGAAAAAAAAAAAAAGATTTAAAGTAGTGTGAGATGTCAGAAATAGAGACCAAACACTACACAGCAGAAGGAATTAAACTCTGAATTTGTAAGCATGCACCATGCTTGTTAGACCTGTTCTCCTAAAAATAGTATTTCTGTGGGGAAAATGAACAAAATCTGATGTACGCAGGGAGTCATAGAGGTTGGGGAATTCAAATAGCTTGAATTAAAATGCCACAAGCCAAGAATTTTTAAACACTGCTTTTATTAACCTTACTGTGCCCCGGATGTTACGAGCCAGATTTGAACAGGTCATTTCATATTTCGTAGGTGTAATGCTTCTAGGTATTCTCATGGGAGCATTAGTTCAGTTCTTAATTTTACCATGACTTCATCTATACTGTTTTTGCTCTGGTTGCTCATGAAGGTATCACATGGGACACTGACCAGGGTTATTCTCAACATAAGTAGCACGTGCAGCTTTCTTTTTCATTGCTAGGTTGGCTTGTCTTGTCAAAGAACAAAATCAGCTTGGTCTGTGCAGCTTGGCAGCATTTGCTCTGTATTTATCTCCTAATTATCATTCTGATACTTTGCAATTGATTGTTATATAACTTGAGTTAATATTTTTCCAAAAATTAGGCCTGTAATTTCCTTTACCCTCCCCTGAGGTGGTTGGGCTGTCCTCTCTGTGTCTCCCTCATCCTATTTTGCTCTTGTAACAGTTTTGGAAAGTGTTTCTTACTTAAAAATGCATCTTAAGTTTCATTGTTGCCTGCAGTACCCTGAAGGGGACAAGGGGAAATGGTTTCAAAGTAACAGGGGATATTTATATTGGATATTAGTTTTTTACAGTGAAGGTGGTGAGGCACTGGAACAGGTTACTCAGAGATGTGGTGGGTGCCTAGACCATGAAGACAAGGATCAGACTGGACAGGACTCTGAGCACCCTGATGTAGCTGTAGGTGTCCCTGTTCATTGCAGGGGAATTGGACCTTTAAGGATGGACCAAAGGATGACTTTTAAGGGCCCCTTCCAGCTCAGACTTCTCTATGATTCCATGAAATTGCAGAGTTCATGTAATACATGGGTGGGAGATGCTCTCATTGGTCTTAAAAAAGGAAACTAGGAAAATCCTGGTGTACAACCCAGCCTGATCACCACATAGTCCTGTGTTGCCTCCCTTTGTAGATCAGGACTGGTGGCAAAGCATGGGAAGGAATCCAGCACCAGCTTTGCTCTTGATCTTGGAGTGCACTGAAGCACTTAACAAACTCCTAAATACACAAGGAGTCTCCTTAGGTTAATAAACATTAAGCAGGTGGTTAATGCTTTTGCTTTATTGAGACCTGAGTGCTGCTGTGTTTTAGCATTAACTTCCCGAGGGACTTGCAGTGTTTTGTTTCAGGAACGTTGAAACTCTTTGTTGTTGCAAAGTACTGAACTATGGAGACAGTGTGTGAGATGCTCTAAATTGGATCATGGCAACTGTTCCCTCTGGAGCAATGAGAGGCCTGAGCAGGAGCTTGAGTTTCCTTATTATACAGCATTATATGAGGAAAGAAAGAGTTAACAGTTACAGAAGAAAGTAAGAGCAGAATAACGTAGGGAGACTAAAAAATTTAGAGCTGCTTTTCA